TTTACTGAAGTGAAAGCACCCCAAAAAGCAGTTTTTAGATGTCCATGATCGCGCCATTGTGAACATTACAAATAAATGCAATGCAAGTATTCGATATGTTTGCAGAATACTTGCAAAACATTGTTAAATTGAAAAAAAGGTTTTTACACAAAAACAGGAAGTTCCTCAGGTCGCTATGGCAACAAGGGCTGTATTTGAGATTTTTCTTTTGAAATCTTGGTGGTTTCTATAGTTTCGGTTGTAGCTATGGTAACAATAATTTCCATTCCTATTGGTTGCTTAGTCATAGTAGTTGTTATTTTATGTACAATTGTTCTTATCGTTATATAATCGAAACCAAACACTTTTTCTGTATCAATCACTGTTTGTATAGTAATAAATCTTCTTGGAGAAGAGATGGCTCCAGGTGGGTTCATGCAGCACATTTTGAAGGACCTGTATCGAAGAAAAAAAGAAATAATTCTGTTGTCAAGTTATTACAAAGGTTTAGATATTCATACTGACGTCGGGGAACACGCAATGGCACGAAGACTGTTGTCAAGTGGAAAAAGACGTGCTGATTATAGAAGTCACAAGAAGAGATATATAATGATTTTCACTGAAAGGTTTACTTATACTGAAGGGTTGTTCGCCACACTTATATGAGTACATCATGGCTTTTCAAAATAAGCAGAGAGCAGATCATTCCACAGATCATTCCACATTTTTTGATATAGCGTGGATGTAACACACGAAGACATTGGCTAAAAAGCGGACCGTTTCACGTACAGACCAGATGAAACAAGAAAAACTTTTTTATTATTAGAAAAGCTCGCTTTCTCTCTTTTTAAGCTTTTTAATTTTCTTTTTTCCCCTAGTTTCTCAGCATTTTCTTTTTAGTATCTTCTATATTAMATGAAGAGGAAAGTACGAAAAAACGTATTTTTATGTCCGACTTCTTTATCAATTTTACTATTTTTCCAAAAAAATGCTATATAGTAAATATTTTATTAACACACGCAATGCCAAGAAGTTAGTAGATTGTCACAGGAAGAAAGAAATGTTGATTATAGTGATGGATTCATAAACCAAAATAATAGATATTGGGATTTTCCTACTGAAGGTCTACATATGCTGAACCGCGCTCATGATTACACGCTGGTTCTTCGAATTAACCAGGAGCACACCAGAGCAATAATGCCAAACTAAAAGACCAACATTCGGCTAAGTATCTTTCCATTGTTGTGAGCCTCAATTATCTTATCGATCACTGCATTTCATAGTGAAACTAAATTTACTGATCTCAAATCACATTGAAATATAATCCCCATTTTTCAAAATTGCAGGAACTGAGTTTTTATTTTGCTGCCAAACGGATTATTCATGACTCAGCTCTCATTATGGCTCATTGCTTTGTGTTTAAAAGTGAGTTTTAAAAGTTCAATAACCAGGGACCAAATAACGAAGTTGTAATTTAACATCCGGACTTCATATATATATATATCATGCGATTTAATTATTGAGTCTTTAAGCCCACAATTAATTATTAGGGTGAAGGGAATAATGCTTGAATTTCCCATTGTTTTCTTGCATATGTATTAGACAAATAAATTTTAAAATTTATGTCATAGTGTTATGTCCAGATGGTCTATCTGATCAATTAAATTTTACTAAATTTCCTTAGGGAAAACAATTAATTCAAAAATTACTTATATCGTATTATTAAGTGCTGCATCAATTAATATGTGCTTTTTTTAAAAATTTACTAAATTCAGTTTTCATCGATTCTACCCTATTAGACTGCTTCCAATCCACTCAATTAGCTTCAATTACTCATACGTAATACAATAATAGCAAATTAAAAGACTGCTCACCTTTGTGTCCAGTGGAATTCATCATTTGAATAGAAAATGAATTATGACAATCAACATCGTTAGCATTTACAGTGTGTTAGTTTAAACGATACACTATTTGTGGTTATTTTATGCTTGGCAACATTTCAGGTTGCATGGAAACGGCTGGTGACAATCCGAAACGTGTGTTTTTTTGCGGGTAAAAAAGGTGTTAGTACTAGTAAAACAAATTCAATCAACTCTCGGTATAACGGACTCGTCCGCATTAGCGAGTGTCACTTAGGGCATATTTTTCATGAAACCCTCACATGGTACTAAATCCGCCATGATACCGGATCAGTAAGTATATAAAGTTGTCACTGATTGTGGAAAAATTTAAAATATTCCAAATGCTTCAAAGACTGACTGTCGTCTTCTTTGGTGGAAATGATTTGATTAATATTAAAACTTGTGAATCAAAGATTCCTGTATACCACAGGGAAGTGCACATGTTCTATATAAAACGGATGCGTTAAGTGTTTTGAGTGCCAAGCTTCAAAAAATAACCTCCTGCTTCTATATATAGTAGGTTTTATACCTACTTGACTGACTTGACTTATACCTCTAACCTCGCCAAACATTTTTGTATATACTAGCTCTGTGATATGTGCATCATGTCGAATTTTCAACGGATTTTTCCTTTGCCGCGGGTCAATCTGGCTAACTCTTCAGTAATACATAGTTCTTTTTAATGGTTATTACAYACTAACTATACGATGATATGCATAACTGAGTTATACTTAAAAAGGCCCATTGCTAAGACGTTGTCAGTACAGACTTTTTATACTTTTCTAAAAAGAAAATTTTACATAGAATAACATAAAGAGTGAGGTTAAATCACCCCGAAACTCTTKCATTTCTTGTTTTTAACATTATCAAAGYACAACAAGTTACTCTGCGAACAGCACACGCGCGCATGCTCAACGGATATTAATCGGAAGTAGGCAGAGGTATTTTTCAGTCGCTTCTCGGCGGGTGACAAAAGTAGCTCTGTTAGCAGAGTAACAACAAGCCTTCTTTCTATATAACAATTAATGACAATCAATATCTACTTACAATACTTTTAACTGAGTGTATACTATCCATAAGTTCATATAGCTTAAAGCTATAAAAAAATGGGCTCTGGGTAATATTTGTGCTTCATGTGTCCTATACAGCCTGGAATTTAATAAAATAATACAGTCAACTCTTGATTTACGGACACCCCGCTACTGCGGACACCTCGATATTACGAAGAGGAAATACTCCCGGAGTAGTCAATCGATAAAAATCGATTAAATTTACTCCAATCGATAAATCGATAAAAATCAAAGCGAAGAGATCTGATTGATATCGATTGTATCTAAAAATCGATAAAAATCGAACTCACACAAAAAAAATAATATCGATTTTTATCGATTGACAGTGCTCAAGTTAAAAAAGGTTTTGGTAGCCGAAATTATAAAACGGTCATTCAACAGTTTTTTTTATACGCACTATAAATAAGAATATATTGAGGACAGTCCAAC